TCTTTTATCTTTTTTCCCGTGAATTACAATGAGATGCGAGGCAAATGTGTCTGCGTTTCGCACGTGTCCGTGTCCCCGTGGTTAGCGCTGGTCAACAATACAACACCGCTCACATGCTCGAGGGTTGGGCTCGTTTGGGCGCGTCATGCACACGGGACCTCTTGGTCGGACTACGGAGAGCGTAGGGAAGGATTCGGCTTGCGAAGGCTACGCGGGACGAGAAGCAAGGGTTTCGATCTCGCCTCCTCGCATGATCCTTTCGCGCCACCTCAAAATACCATTTTTATCAGCTCGTAATCAACCGATTGAAAAAATATTGAAGCATAATGTTCTTCGTGGGACACACATCTGCCATGGTCTAATTAAAGTTGTTATCCTTTCAGCACTGTAGCTCAAAGTCTACAAATGGGCCAGTGGCTTGTAAATATACCTGGCAAATTCAATAGTTTAAGCAATTTATATAATGCACATTTTTTTCGATCGGTGTGCTCTGAATCGGAAGTCGGCCACCTTTTGAGGAGTAGGGCCAAGTTGCATGAAGCCTCGACACAGCAAGGACCACATGGCAAATAGTAGACGGGGAGGAGGGGTGCATTGCAGGCTAAGAGAAGAAATCGGGAATTAAGAAAATGTAAAAAAAAAGAAGGGTGGATTAGGAATCGTGTTTATTTTCAGCTCGCAAGCCATGCTTGCAATCAAACACAGCTTTCTAGCACAAATCACATTTTCCGTAAAAACGAACAAGTGGGACTTTACATAGTGACAATGAAATGGGAAGCGTTTGACGATGAGTCCGGGGTGACACGCGGGCTGCAGTTGCTGGCCCTTGCTTCTAGTGAATTCCTATGCGGTCATTCTATGCCAAGTGTCTCCTATACGTGGCACTAGCAATTCAGAGGTTTTACCGATAAAATTTATACCTTTTTTTGTATAGACCTTATCTCGGGAGTTAAAAAGCGTCGTCATGCTGGGTTGCGCGTAAGAGTACAATAAGGCTAAGGTCAGAGCCTCTGTGTGCTTTTTGGGGGGTCACTACAATTTATGCAAATGACTATGGTGGCGGCCAAGGAGCTGTTTGGGGTATGGTGGTCCAGGTCGGGTGGCTAGCCCAGGTAGCCATGGCGCCCCCTCAGTGTTACCTTGCTACTGTATATCTATTTTCATGTGTTCAGATTCGGAACAGCGCTCGCGCTACTCAAGGATTCTGCTGAGTTGTGCTATTAATTTTTTTTCCAAATGTTTCTTTGTAACTGCCAGCAATACGTATACCTAAAACAACAAACATATTCAAAGCTCATGATTTTTTCTTAGGCTAACTCATTCTCCCATATTAGTGCACTTCTCAGGACGGCGTGCTTTCGCACAAAAGTGATTAGAGGTGAAATAAAGAGGCTTCAAATTTCCCCTATAAAAATGGTGAAATCAGATGAAATATGCAGTCTGTCGGATAATTAACAGTATCTTTGGTGTTGATGTGGTCCAAACAAAAATCCTCATGATGCGGCGTTCGATAGTATACTTCTTTGCCAAATAACAAAATAGTGTGATCAAATCATTTTTTAATTTGGTCTTTTGATTAACACACCCTGCCTTTCTGTCTATTGCCTATTCGCCGCAAAACACGTGGTCGCTCATGCAGATGATGGTCGTCAGAGGAGGTGGTGAAGTGCGAGATGTTTGTCGACTCGTGAGCGTTCCAACGCTACTTTATGCCAGGTATTCTGGTACACACACGTTTGGCTGGAGGTGGAAGCACATCATCATCATCATCATCATCATCATCATCATCATCATCATCATCATCATCATCATCCTAACTGCGCCCACTGCAGTGCAAAGGCCTTTCCGATGATCCGGCATTCAACCCGATCTTGTACTTTCTGCTGCCATGTTATACCTGCGAACTTTCTAATCTCATGTGCCCACCTAACTTTCATTCTCCCCTTCGTGCGTTTGCCTTCTCTGTAAGAATCCAGCCAGTTACCCTTAATGACCAGCGGTTATCCTGCCTACGTGCTACGTGCCCGGCCCATATGTCCATTTCTTCTTCTTGATTTCAACTATGATATCATTGACCCCGGTTAGTTCCCTGACCCACTCTGCTCTTTTCTTCTCTCTTAAGGTTACACCTATAATAATCATATCCATTGCACACTAAAAAAAAGTCAAATAGCAATTTACGTCAGAGTGAAACCTCAATGTATGACAACATCTAAAACGACAATATTGTCAACAGCAGTGCCCTACTTACCGAGAAATTAAGGTAAATGCACAATAATGCACGCGCCACAGTAGGACATTTTCAAAATGATCCCTATGACGGGAGACGAACCGTCTACAATTATTCACTAGTAATCGATCTAGCTGCACTAAATAAAGAACTTTCCGTGGATCAAGAGACACAATAAAATGCTGCTTGTTCGTTTCTATTGGGTTCACGGAAAAATGAACCACGGGACGTTACTATAGAGAATGGTGCGAATGGTTCGAAAATTCAATTTTCGCGTGGTTAAACTGGAGAGGTCATGCGGGGGCCGAGTTGAAGCAAAACACGCCTGTCATCTCGGAGCCAATGGCGAGAAATTGATCAATGGCCGTTGTTGCTGCCGCTGCTTTTTTGTTCTGCTGCTACAAGTGTCAGCGGCCCCACACTAAAGCTGGACAACGCTGTGCACGGCCACAGTGACGTGAAACGGTCCGCTTTTAGAGGCGGGTAAAGTGGAGTGCGCTAACCTGATGCGGACCCCTATAACCTGATTTTATTTCAAAATAACCCCTTCCTTGGTACAAAAGTAACACTTCGAGGTTTCTGGACTGCTATTTCAACAATCAACGTCGACTTAATAGTTGCCTTTAGTGCCCTTTTAAGCTGAACCATCTTTGTAAGCCTCCAGGTTTCTGCTCCAAGTAAGTACCGCCAAGATGCTGCTGTTGTGTATATACTTTCCTCTTGAGGGTTAGTACCTGATTACAATGCATGACTTGAGAATGCTTGCCGAGTGCCATTCACCTGTCCTCATTTTTCTAGTTATTCCACTGTCATGGTTTGGCTCCGCGGTTACTATATACCTGTCCTATATAGAAATATTTCTTTACAACTTCCAGCATCTCTCCACCTATCGCAAAGTGCTTTTTTTTTTTTGCCAAGGCTGTTGCACATTAGGAATAAGGGCTGCAGCACGAGCACGAAGGTGCTAGAAGAAAAGTGAAACGAAAGGCGAGGCAAGGAAAGCAAAGAGGACAACACGAGCAAGAAAAGCAAAGAGGACAACACGAGCACTGTCCTCTTTGCTTTCCTTGCATGCCTCGCCTTTCGTTTCACTTTTCTTTTAGCACCTTCGTGCTCGCGCTGCAGCCCTTATTACCATGAATTCCAACCAACTAGCCCAAATAGCCGTTCTTCTTGTTGCACATTACTTTAGTTTTGTGCATAATAATTTTCAGACCTACTTTCCTGCTTTTCGTTTCCGGTTCAGTAATCATGGGCTGTAATTTGTCCCTGAGTTACTAAGATACTATGAAATACAGGTTACTTAGATACTCTCCATTAACTCTTATGCCTAACTCCTTCCAATCTAGGGCTCTGAAAACCTACTGTAAACACGCGGTGAATAGCATTGGAGAGGTCGTGTCTTCCTGCCTTACACCCTTCTTTATTAGGATTATATCGCTTTCTTTATGGAGAACTATATATGGTGGGTGTGGATCCACTGTAGATTTCTTCTAGTATGTTTATGCAGGATTCGTCAATGCCCTGATTCCGTAGTGCCTGCATTACTACTGCTCGACTGAGTCAAACGCCTTCTCATAGTCTATGAAAGCTATGTATATGGGTTGGTTGTATTTAGCGCATTTCTCTATTACCTGATTGATAGTATGAATATGGTCTATTGTGGAGTAGCCAGCACGAAATCCTGCTTGGCCCTTTGGTTGATTGAACTCTAATATCGCCTTATTTCTATTAGCTAATATTTTCGTAAATAGTTTGCAGAGAACAGACATTAAGCTGAACGGCCTGTAATTTTTCAAGTCCTTTACGTCTCCTTTCTTATGAATGGTGCTTTCTGCTGCCACGTTATATTGACAAACTTCTTAATGTCATCTGCCCACCCAATTTCGTCCCTCTCTCACGCGTTTGATGTCAATTTCTTTTTCCTGATTTCAATTACGATTTCCTTAACCCCATTAGCTCCTTGGTGCCCTCTAATTTCTTCCTGTCTCTTAAGGTTAAAAGGTACACCAATTATTTTCCTTTCCGCATCCAGGTTTAATTCTGATCAGTATATATAGGTATCAGTAAGATGCCGCTGTTGTATACTTTCCTTTTGAGGGATAGTGGTACACTAACATTCAGAATGCTTACCGAATGTGCCCCATCCCATCCTTATTCTTCGAGTTATTTCACTCTCATTTGGTTCGAACGATTGTCTCGGCGGTCCAGCTGAGAGCTTGGTCGGAAAATTAATATGCACAAAGCTAAAGTAATGTGCAACAGTCCTTGCAGAGAACAGTGCTTTGCGATAGGGGCGAGACGCTGGAAGTTGTAAAGGAATATGTCTACTTAGCCGCAGAGTGGAGATCTGTCACCAACTGAAGGTGTTTCAGGGTGTGAGGGTGTTCCCGACAACAACAGCCACAAAAACGAATAAAACAAAACAAAGCAAAACGATGGTTGATGCATGTTATTTATAACGGTGGTGATACGTAGCGCGAGTACCTATCTGCCAAGGAGCGCACACCTCATGAAAAACAAGGAGAAAAAAAAAAACACCCACCGAAAACAAAACTGAAACCAAACAAAACCTATAGATGTAAAAAAGTATTTATATGAATACTTACCCTCTAATTTGTGATATACTCATAAACACGCTAAAAATAAATGCTGTTGTTCAAGCGATTTGAGTTGCGCGCAATTTGAGTAGAGGATCGCTAATGACCCACGTCATGACGTGCGTGCGTGAACTATTGCTCATAGCGCCCTCAGGCGCCGTTTGCCGCCTGTTCACGCGTCAATGTCTTTCGAGTGCTGCGTTGGAGCGCTTGTTCGCCTGCTACACGTGTCAGCGCACCGTATGCTCGTGACGTATTGCCGTGCTAGTGTCGTAAGTTTAATTCCAATTCTACTTTTTCATTCGTGCATTTCGGCGTCTACAATGGCAGAACACACTGTCGAAAAGAACGGTGACATCGCAGCTGTTTCAGCAAAAGTGGACTTGGTTACGAGAAACCTCCAAGAAGTGCTCGGTGAAGCTCGAATGAATGAAATCATGAAGGAACGAGATCTTAAAATCTATTGGGGCACAGCAACAACTGGCAAGCCTCACGTTGCCTATTTCGTTCCGATGTCAAAGATCGCCGACTTTTTGAAAGCCGGTTGTGAGGTAACCATTCTCTTTGCCGATTTGCATGCATACTTGGATAACATGAAAGCTCCTTGGGCTTTGCTCGAACTCCGGACGCAGTATTACGAGCACGTAATCAAAGCGATGCTCAAGTCCATTGGCGTGCCTTTAGAGAAGCTCAAGTTTGTTAAGGGATCCACGTACCAATTGAGCAAAGAGTTTTCCATGGATGTCTACCGTCTGGTGTCTTTGGTGACTGAACATGATGCTAAGAAGGCTGGGGCCGAAGTTGTGAAGCAGGTCGAGCACCCTCTCCTTAGTAGTATGCTCTATCCATTATTGCAAGCCTTAGATGAAGAGTACTTGCATGTCGATGCGCAGTTCGGTGGTGTTGACCAGCGCAAAATTTTCACATTCTCCGAGAAGTACTTACCTCAGCTAGGTTACGAAAAGCGTATTCATCTAATGAACCCCATGGTGCCTGGGCTGTCGGGTGGTAAAATGAGTTCTTCGGAGGAAGATTCCAAGATTGACTTGCTGGACACCCCAGCAGCCGTGAAAAAGAAACTCAAGAAGGCTTTTTGTGAACCGGGAAACCTTGAGGACAATGGTGTTCTCGCCTTTGTGAAGCATGTGCTTGTGCCTCTTCAGAAAGGTACTAATCTGGTAATCGAGCGCGACGAGGCACACGGTGGTAACATAGTGTACTCGAGCTATGAACAGCTGGAGGATGATTTCAAGAACCTCAAGCTACACCCAGGTGATCTGAAAGCCATGGTTGAAGTGCAGCTGAATCGGCTGCTAGATCCAATCAGAGAAGCCTTCAGTGATCCAAAGCTTCAGAAGCTGACTGCCGATGCTTATCCACCTCCAACAAAAGCAGTTTTTGATGAAGTCACCCCGCAGCGCCTCGACTTGAGGGTTGGCCGTATTGTGGAAGTTAACGACCATCCAGATGCAGATGCACTTTACGTGTCTCGTGTCGACCTTGCTGAGCCTACCGGTCCCCGTACAGTTGTCAGTGGCCTACGAAACTTGGTACCCAAGGAGGCACTTCTCAACCAGAACGTTGTTCTGCTTTGCAACTTGAAGCCATCTAAGATGCGAGGTGTGGAATCACAGGCAATGGTGCTCTGCGCATCTGTACAGGAGCCACGACAAGTTGAGCCCCTAAAACCACCCAGGTGAGTTAGAGTACCAACGTGGTGTTACAGTGAGAAAGTACAGCTCTATCGTGCCTTGTGTGACATTCAGGGTGCATGTAATGTACCAGATCTACTTTCATTCGTACTCAACTAATGTATGAGCGAAACCTGGCATTGTTTTTCACGGTCTGTAAAACTTTGTTTTATGTCCAAGAATTAGCTATCGAACAGTGTATTCAAACATTTTGCTACATGTTTCGAGTACTTAATTTTACAGCTGTTAAAAACATATACAGATCACTGCCCGTTATAGGACCAAATTTAGTGGTTACAATTTTAGGCAGCATTCACACTGGCACCTAGCATATGAGGAGCTTGTTGCAGTGAACACGGGTGTGCTATTTCTACTGTTCCCGTCCATTTCTCATATTTGGCATTCCTTACACAGCTGTGGTCACATGAAACTGCCGTGCATTACGATCTCTTAAAATTTTGCTGCTTATTTTTCAGCAGCTTTGCAACATTGTAAATCTGAAGGATTGTGCAGCAAATATATTCATTAAATTTGTCTGTTTTTCACTAATTTGACCCATAGATGAACTTGTACAATTGCTTAAGTCATCTGATGCAATTGAGTGTATTTATTCTGTTTACAGCAACTGCAGTCCAGGAGACCGAGTATTCATTGAAGGCTACGAGGATGCCAGCATCCAGCCAGATGGCCAACTAAACCCTAAAAAGAAGATTTGGGAGAAGCTACAGGTGGACATGAAGGTTTCTGCCTCACTTGTGGCTGAGTGGAGAGGTTGTGCATTCATTGTGAATGGCAAACCTGTCACATGTACTTCGCTGAAGGGTGCTCCTATTAAATAAGACTTCTTTGCCTTCTAAGGTGATACAATAATTTATACGGCCTATACATAATTCAATTGTGTTTTTGTGCAATGCACATTTTTGGGAATGTAAAAATGAAAGGATGCCATGGAAGTGCACTTCACTGGCATCCATTTCTTTGAATGAGTAAAATTAGAGATGAGTTGCTGCGATTATTTTCGCCATGACAGCATTGATATTTAAGGTCAGCAATAATAGTTATGGAGTTACTTTATTTTATTGTTTTCACAGCACCTGGGAACTATACCAAAGGAGTGTACATGTATGCATGTATTGAAATTTTGTACCCATTACTACTCTATAAGCCAGTATATTTTTGCATGTATTTTGTATGAAAATATGTGTACTCTCAACAGTGTGCACATGTTATGGAAGTAGTTGTATCACGAGTACATTATTAATAAAGTGGCATACTCCCAGGAACTGTTTATTCTCAGCTGATAATTGGTGCTCAGGGAATGAGGAATGGTGATTTGCTTTTTTGTGTGCCTAGGTATGTATTCCAATGTACGGGAACCTAATGCATAATGTATGTGGCATCTTGCACATAGAAACACCACATGAAAGGTTTACTGGTTTTATGCCAATCGCCCTCTGCTGGTTGCACAGTTCTCTATGCTGGTTCCACAGTTTTTCTTCACACTAAAGGTAAGCATTCATTCAAGTTTGCAGATTGGTGTACCAAATTTTGGAGTGTCACAATCATTTTCAAAAAGGCTTGCTACTAACCAGCAGAGCACAACCTGATAAATTGCTAGTACCATCCGAACTTCTGATTATATCTACATAGTGAAGCCCATTGCAACGAGTGTTCTCAGTTCCAAATGTAATATAGAGCATATATCACCGATGCCTTAGCTAATCTTTTTTTTCATTAATTGGCAGATAATAAAGGATGGCATGATCTGATGCTTCAACATCCTGTTTATCATTGGTAATTTGAACTGAGAAAGTACAGAGTTGTCACATACGACATGACTGTTTCTACAACTAAATCATTGGCACAGAACTGATGTCGCAAAATGTGTAGCACAACAGAATTCATTCATTCATTGCTTGTGATGTGCACTGTGGTGTGCTTCGTTGTGTAACATACTGCTATAGGTTAGTACATTCAGTTTAACATTATGCATGGCTTTTATAAAGTGCAAGCTAGGCACCTCTTTTATGCTTGCTTGAGGCCCAAAAGGGGTAAAAACGCATATTTTATGAAATCTCAACATCATTGTGGAACGAGTCCAGTACCTCCAAAGTACTAATACGTTTCTGAAGAAATTTTAATACCTAACATGAATGGGAATATAGAGCATAATGGAAACTTATTACCCGTCAACTCATTGGCTCCTCTTGGCTGTGGCAGTGGCAATAATTAGGCTACGTCTGTTGCTTTTTTTTCTTTTGCATTATGCCAATGCTAACACTTGAAGGTTTGTGTATAACTGTGAAAAATGAGTTGTGACGGGAAAAGTGGGATACGTTGTTACTTTTTCATTTTTTTTGAACATCTGGAGGAATGTTCACATATACGTGAGCTTTTGCACATTGGTAATTCATGCTTATTAGTGTTTTCTCTGTGGCTGATGTCTATAGGCTGCCCCACTTGCTGTGATGTCATTGATGTCATTCTTAATGCTGCATAAACTGGAAAATAATCAATGCAAGCCTTGAAAGCTGTAGGAAAAAGCAAGCGACTTATTCTGTAAAATTTTATTTGCTGCATGCAGCAGAAGAATGTTTCACTTGAATGTTCACTGCAGCATTTTGTACTCATCAGAGACCTTTTTTTGTTATGCATGTGTTCAAAATGTATTTCAGTGCCTCTTTAGGTTGAGCAAATAAAAATTCGGCAGATCCCACATACCTAGGAATCGGCGTTAGGTGAAGCATGCGGAAAAAAAGTGACCATGTGCAATTTTTTTATTGAGCGACACGTCATGAAATGACGCTAAATATATGTACAGATGTTTTACGCACAGACATATCTTTAAGAGTTGCAGATGTTTATATAACTAGTTGTTTGCATTTGCGCAACAATGCCAACTGGAACATGCGTATTAGCAACACCAGAAGCTGATATGAAGCGCTGATGCTCGCGAAGATGCTGGCCCTGGACACTGCTACAGAAATCAACTTAAGCGCATGGCAAATAACCAGAATTTACGTTAACCTGAAGTGATGGCCGTATCAAAGGAGTGCATATGTAATGTTTAGAAAATTGGGTTGGCAGCACTGCAACCACTATTGACGTTTCACGAAGATTAGCGTCTATTTGAAGAGTATTTCCGAGATGTGTCGCAGCTCTGTGGTAGAATGCTTCAATTCTACTCAGAATGCTTGAGTTCGATTCCAGCTGTGACCCTGAAATTTATTATTTGCATTCATCGAGGGGGTCAACACTGCCTATGTCAGGTTTTGTTAACACTGACATTTATTCTATGCCTTCATTGGGTCGACGCTAACGATGTCGGGTATTCCATAACTTTCACGCTTTAAAATTGCCTGTATGTGTTCTCGTCCTTCCTGGCTGGATACTAAGTGTCAATCACCTGTGGCACATACCCGCATACCAGCGGCACATACCCGCCCGTTGGTATGTGCCCCTGCCTGGCGGGAAGTGTTTGATGACGTATGCGACGGTATTGTGACATTATTCATGTCTTGACCAGCGGATCATATTCGTCAAACTTCTTACCCTCCCATGCTAATTTTGATTCACGCCAAGTGAAGGAGGTGACTTTGAGAGCACCCAAACATAAGCGGCTAGATATATAGATACGCTCAGAGTCGCTGAAGTTCGCTAAAAAATGCTTTGCATTTAATAAGCTGATTTTATGTGCAATGCACATCTAATAACAGATTGTGAAATGAGACATAACAAAGACATACACAGTGTTCATTTTGTTGCTCATATATGCAGTTATTGAATGCTCAATATGCAGTTACTGGACGACCATGATTAGCAGCCGAAATGAGTGCTTCAGTGAGACATTGCTTATCTGCTTTGTGTAGGTATGCTTTTGGAAGGCACTGACATACATTGTAGTATAAAAACTTTCAAAATACAAGCCGTGATAAGTGCACAAGTTATAATCGTTAAACTGTCCTGTTGGCAACATTTGGCCTTGTATGCAAATGTGATTTGGCTTTCTACTGGCAAAAATACCGTAGAAATAATACAAAAACAAAAGATAATCATCTTTTTCAAAAGCTTGTGATGTCGCCATGATTGGTTGGTTTTGAGCAGTGGATGATAAAAGAAATACAGGTTATTAAAGGAATACTTACATTATACTGTCCTGCATTGCACTATGTATTGTTCGCTTTCACTTTTACTGTTTCAATTGTACGAGAAGCAGAACAGAAACACTTCTGGACCCGTGCCATCTTGTTAGGCAGACACAACAGAGTGGTGCATAGCTAATTTAATATCACAAGGATAAATTCACAAAAATATTTTAAGCGAACTGTGGCGTTTTTATATTGAACACAAACCTTGTACTGTGTGACACTTTGAACATGGTGGATGTAGTTGAGGACTCAGAACTATACAGTGAGAATGCTAATCACCCAACTTCGAGTGAAAGTAATTGAGAACATGACACCAAAGTCCCAAGCGTCACTATCGATGAGGTTAGAAGGCCTTACAAGCCATGAGCCATAGCATCTATGGAAGACCGCATGACAACCTATTAGATTAAAGATAAAGATTTTATATTTCAAAAACTAGCGACTATCTATGCTCTAAAAAAAATTGAATATTTGGGGAGTGTTTTTGCTACACAACAATAATCATCATCTACTTGGAGTACTTTCTTCGCATTATCACAACGGTCCCGGTAGTTCGCGGTCACGAACGGCGCGCTTGTTATCAGTGTGACATGGCATTCCCGTTAGGAAAGTGGCCAGCTCTGGGTTTTCAAGAAAGGAAATGCGAGCAACCTAGATGACGATTATTGTTGTGTAGCAGAACTACTCCCCGAATACTCTATTTTTTCTTAGCGCGTGCACAAAGCTCCTTAACAAAGTGAATGTGCCAGAGAGTTGGAAAAATGCAAATATTCTACCAATATGTAAAAAGGAAGACATCAAATACTTGAATAAACCACAGGCCAATGAGCCTTCTTTCAGTATTGTACAAAATATTCACAAAGACAACCTCGTTTCGGGTTAGAACCAGACTTGACGTTAACCTAAAGAACAAGCTGTGTTTGAGAAACCATCCACTACTATAGATCAAATTCATGCAATGAATGAAATAACTGAGCAATCTGCCTAACAAAAGAAGCCACTCTATATAGCAGTCACAGATTATGAAATGGCATTAGACGTTAGAGATATCAGTGGTTCTCAAGGCAGCATGCTGACAAGGAGTGTTTGAAGCACTATAGCCGATATATAGAGACTCCACAGCTACTGTGCTCCTCCTAAGAGCGAGAAAATCCTGATCAATAAAAAGTTTGTCAAGGCGATAGAGTGTGTCCTCTGCTAGTATTTACTGCTTGTCTAGAAGTACTCGAACTAATATGGAAATGAAGGTCAGTGGAGAATATCTTGGCAATCTATGGTTTGCAGGCAACATCGTACTCTTCAGCAATCATGGTGATGATTTACAAAAAGTGATTGAAAAATTAAACCAATAAAGCAACAATGTAGACTGGGCGATAAATGAGAACAAGACAAAAATTATGCTAGGTGGTCTGGCAAAAGAGTTGCAATTTGTGATAGACAACCAGACGCCTGAATCAGTGGAACAGTGTGTCTATGTTGGCCAAGTACGAACCTACTTATGTTAATGCACTGATAAATAAAGCATGCATGTATGGTAGGCATTTTCTACTCATGACCAGTAACTTACCATTGTGGCTAAAGTGGAAAGTATACAATTATTGCATTTTGCCAGTACTAACAAAAAGTGCAGAAACCTCGTCAGTAACAACACAGCATGCAATTGAACGAAAATGATAGGTGTAACCCTGATAGGAAGGTATCGGAGTGAATTTGAGAACGAAAGTGTAACCAATATTCTATGAGATGTTACAAAGGAAAAAGTTGACCTGGACTGACTACATGAATAGAAGTACAGACTACAGATGGTCAGTTAGAACATAGGAATGGATACCACGAGATTAGAAGCATGGACGGAGACTACCAAGGGTTATAGGTAGTGACAAAAAGTAAGAAACTTGGAGACATAAAATGGAATCGCACGGGAAAGGGTGGGTTGGGGATCATTGGGAAAAGTCTTTATCCCGCATTGGACAAAAGACAGGCTGGTGATGATATGGAGACGCTTATGCTTGATCAGTGTCATTTTTTTTGACCCACAGGTATAGTGCGTCATTTTCATGGAGGTGTGACTAAAAGATGCTGGGATCACCACTCTGATTGACCCTCTGAAATCCGTTTTACGAGAATCCAATAAGCAACTGTGTGCACGCAATGCCAGTGAGTTATACCTCCCACCGCGTAGTTATGTAGAAAGAAGTCTGAAGTGGTCTTGTGGTTTTGAAGACCGTCAACTCCAGTGCCAGTGCTTGGACACAAGCACTCTGCTTCCGTTTTCCCTGTACATCGAAGATGCCAGAAATGTGCGACCGGAAATGAAATTTAGATATGTGTTGAAGAAGGGAAATGTGAAGAAGGTAGGTTTGAAAACTATAAATCATTAAACTCGATATATCTCCCCCCCTACACTTTCAAAATGTCCAGTCCTGAAGAATTTCTGGTTTAAACCCTGCTGTAAAGGTACTAATGTCAGTGGCACATTACACCAATTTCACTTTACAAGTTTCGCACAGTGTACAGCTTGTGGCATGAAACTGAAAGCTGCCGTTAAACAGACTCATCGATTCCAAGTGTTCCTTCGGTGCATCTTTGTCCGCCTTGAAAGTTATCACAGGACGAATTTCGCTAGCTTTCCTCTTCTAGCTGCTGGCCATTTATCTGCCTTGTTGAAAGAAAAACCATCCTGAAAAGCTGATAAAGCCAGGGTCACTCCTTAAAATGTTGCAGTTTATTCCAATAGCACTTAACTTAGGCAAGTTAGTACATCCAACTCTGTCTGAGTTCATCCAAGCCTATTCAAGTTGCAGTTTATGTTATTTCAAAGAAGCTAGAGGCACAAGATGCATTTTCTCACTTCTGTTTGCGATGTTTATCATGCCAACGTTGTGAAATCCAGTGTGTGCACTCATCAAGGGAGATGTGTTTGTGCTCACATGAGGACTCGTGAAACTATCCTTTTTCATTTTATTAGTGCACTCGAAGGTTTTCTGATATTTATATGGTTGATAAAGCTGTGAATCTCTGTACAGCAGTTTAATGCATTGCCTATCAACTGAAGCTATGACTTCTTTTTGTAGTTTAATGTAATAAATGAATGCCAACCTTCAGTGTGTGACATAACCATAAAGAGATGCCGATAAAGAAGCCAAGGAAGGTTCAGGGATGTTGATTGTACTGCTTAAAGTGTGTCAGTAATTTCACGTGATATAGATGTGAAGAACGTAAAGGGGACGAAGAGACAACTTGTTGCCGGCAGGGGCCGTACCTGCAACCCCTGGATGTGACCTTTAAATGATGAAACAAGCCCTTGATGTTTCGTTCCTTAAACCTTCCCTCTGATGATTCTTCCTCCTGCTGTAGTGGTATGAAAGTAATGTTCTAGTCAAACTGAAAGACAACTACAACTAGAGCGCAGGGCAAGACAATAAGTTTAGTTCCTGCAATGCTGTCATGTGTTCATGCCCTACTGCCTTCTTTGAAGAATATTTTGTTTATAAGCGAGATTTTTTGCACCAGGATGTCTGTGTGTGTGTGAAGATGCACTTGAGCAGACAAATTTAACATACTACTGCAAAATGCACAAAATTTAGTGAATGTTCTGTGTGAATGTGCAGTTCA